CCCCCCCCCGGCCTGTTAAAACGAGAATCACGGGACGACGCAAGGGTGACTCTCACGTCGCCCGATCCTCCCTAGAATTCGAATCGATAATCACGCGGGGATTTAATTGCGCGCCTTGAAAAGCGCGCGCCCGGTATATCTCTCGAATATCGCTCGAAAGAGAAACGTCCCACCCTCTTCATTTCTGCGTTTACCTCCGCCGCGAAACACCGCGTGTCCCAGTGTCCGGCGCGTCGCGTAACTTCAGCGATGTGCACGTCCTCGTTTCACTTACCGTTTAGAATAAACGCTAGCGTTACTGTATTACGCCGTATCCTACGAGCGTTCGATATTAAAGCTATCGGCAAATTATCGTGACCTGATGTATCTCGTAAGTATCTAATCGCAGATGTCTCTTCACGTACGTGCTGCATCGTTAGACTTCGCCGGAATCGCCTCGTATCGAGATAATTCGACCGACGCGCGTCGACCGCGTTTCGTTCGGTCGATCCTCGCGATCAGCGAGTCTCGCTCGGACGAATTAACGCTAAACGTCGGTAGGAAAAAAAAAACGAGCAAGAAGAAGAAGTACACGAGTCTGAATAGTTCTCAAGTCTCGAGCTGGGTTCGCGGTCCTGTTACTGCCCCAGGACCTCCGACCCGGCCAGATAATTATAGACGCACCCTCGCTAGATATCCGGGAGGAGCATGCCCCGGTTTTCCCGGGAGTTCCGAGACTAAACGTGTTCGAAGAAAGTCGTGCTCTTAATCGTAACGTCGGTGTCTTCTCGTGCGTAGATTTAAGGTTTAGAACGATACGATTACCGTCGCGCTTATAATCCCCGGAACATTTGTCTCGCGTACCGATCGCGGTGTTAACTTACGACGACTCCGATCGCCGCGAACGGGCCGCGGTTCCTCGTTCTCCGCGAGGCGGAGAGAAACGGACGAGGAACTCGGTCGATTCGGAATCAGGAGGACGAAAGAACGATCGCCTAACTGTGCCACGCGTTTCCTCGACGAGGAGTCTAAAGTGGGGACTCGAGGAGGCCTCGCTAATTTCCTCGCGACTGACGAATCGATTTTCGCCTCACTCCCTCCCTCCCTCTCTCGGTTCGCCTCGATATAAAGATCTTAGATTATTTATTCGAGAGTTCGGATTCTTTCCCTTTCTTTTTTTTTTTGTATTTTCACCCAACGTACGAAGGAGAAAAAGAGATCGGGGATCGACTGTTATTCGAGCACAACGAGCCGCGCCACGACGGTCTGGGCACGCGAGCGTAATCATAAGGACTTTAAAAAGTATTCACGAGACGGTCGTACTGTTAATTCAGCAGCTCAACTTAAGTATCATAACGTTCTTATACGATAGGTTAGTCGATAATGAGAGAGACTAGAGTTAAAGGCATATGTCCCGCGATCGATAAGGAAAAATGAATATAATATACTTGCCATTACACCGGGCGTGCAATCTTTCTTTTCGTTCGCGCCACCGGCGATCACGCGGATCACGCGGAATTGATCCTTTCTCGATTCCGCCATCCGATGTGCGCTTGCACTTTGCACGGGCCGATTGTACGTGGCCACGGTACGTCGAATCTTCGGTAAGAGACGACAGACACACGAGGGAGAACTCGAACGCTGGGGGAGAAAGCGCGAATTCTAAGTAAAACGGGAGGAGATGTGAAACACGGAGCAAATCAAAATAAACAGCCACACACTTTACTCTCGCCTAAGAACGCCATTCTGTGTAAATAATTTCCGACGTCATCGCGTATCGCTTTCGAGGGAGTCTCTTGGAAAATATATTATATTCATCGCAAAAGCCAAAGACCTCGTCGTCGTCGTACAACGAGGGGCGCGCGCTGGGATATCCGCGTAAAAAGGGATCTTTGCATTCTGTCGCGACAGCCATCGATCTCCCGGACGCTTCGCGACTCGCGAGTCGAGACAATTGTTTCTACTTATTATTTATCAAATTGTTACTCGCTACGGACGCGATCGCAAACGGTATCGTACACTGAGAAAAAAGTACTTCTACATTTACTCGCGGGATATAAGACTTATTTCACAGAAATAAATCTTGTTTCTGTGAAATCAATTTTATTTCTGCAAAATAAATCTTATATTCCACGGGTGAATTTTTCTTTCTTTCTCAGTGTAGATTTTAGACTTCCATTCTCTGTGAGCATTAAAATTACACAATGCCTCAATTTCGCACTGATAATTGCGGTTAAACGAATCTCCTTTTCAATGCGAAGTATTTGTAAGGTCACACGGTCAACGCTGGTGATCGTGTAATCGTAGTATTAATTGTACGGCGTTATTTGATCGCAATTTGCGGTCAGATCACGACCTTTTGATTCCGGTTGCAAAAGCGGCCGGATAGACAAAATTCAGTAGATAACTCCCGGTCGAAGGACGAGCAGAGAGCAACCTTGAGCGCGTCCCTCACACCGCATTTTGTATAACTTCAAATCGCGCGAGGCGTGGCTACATCGATTACATTTTTAGCATGACATAATCACGATTGCGAGTGTTCACCTGCGCGGGGGTGAACCTTCCGTCGGGAGAGAGATTAATAATGTTCAATACGGCGCGCTCGGAAGCATCGATAAATAGCCTCGTTGTCATTCGCGACGTTGTCGCGGGTCAGCACTTCGACGTTGCGCATCGAGAGGAAACGCGATTTATTTCGAAACGCCCGAGAAACATTTCGATTAATACGGCAGAAATGGCGCTTAGTGTAACAAAACGAAATGTGATTAGTTCACATAATTATAGCGTATATACGTAGACGAGACGGTAGATACGAATAAGGGGGAAAAAAGAAGAAAACAAAACAAAACAAATTGTCCAATATGTATCTTTCTATATAAAATAGTATGTACTGCTGATATATATATATATATATATCTATATATATATATATATTATGACGTAATGAAAAATTGACTTGCGTAAGTTATTCGTGTTTTGCAAGTTGTATCTTTAAAAAGTCTGCGAGATCCGGTGCCGTAAACCGTGTATGCATTATGACATTGCTTTGCATACGGCGTTTCTGAGCGTTTTTCGTTTTTATATCAAATATTTTTTGCGATCCGTGAACAGAATTGTAAATATTGTTGGGATAGCGCGTTTATATATATTTTTGTCGTGTACATTTTACAAATTATATTTTTATCTAGATGTAAAACAACACATTTGTAGGGGAAACGCAACATTTTCGCGACAAACGCGACAGTGTTAACCGCTGCCGCGTTTATCACGGAAAGGTCGAAACTGCGAACGGAACGATTTTTCATTTGCAACCTCCAAAAAGAAATACCGACAATTATTGTTAATCCGGATTGGGAGAACAACGTACTGTGGATTGTATGCTTAAAACGGACACACCGTGATTTTCCTCGGATCGATATATCACGCGAAACACGAGATATTTCTATTATATCGAGATAACAAACGGGATCTGTAGGATCCATCGAATGAGAAGAGAAAAATAAGAAAACGATCATAGAGATCGACACGCAGTGCGCAGTAAAAGAAAGTCAGTGTGGTGCTCATCATCGTGCTCACGCTGAATTGAAACCGTTCGAGTTGCCATGAATCCTCCGAACAGTTCGGACAACACGCTTAAATTTTTCGCTNTTTTCCCCCCCCCCCCCCCCCCAAAGTCGCGAAAAACTCGCGTGAACGTCGCGCACGCGCGATTGTTCAAGCGTGTGTGTATCGTTCATACGCAGCCTAAGTGACGATGCGAGCCGGTCGTCGATGAGCGAGTGAGAATGTTGCGTGTGTCATTTTGCGCGTGTGTGCTAAAGATCTAAAATCCGAGGCTCGTTCCGCGACTCGAAGCTTTTACGGAACTTGGAACTTCTCAGGCGACTTCGACGGTCCGAAAATTCAAGGGTTTTAGATCTGCGATTTTAGAGCGTGTCGATGAGTCGATTCGACTCGCTTTCGTTTGAGAAAGCGGAGCTTTGAGAATTCGCATGGATCTGCGAGAGATGTATTAATTAGTGACACACATCGCGCGATCGGCGCGGCCCGAGGAGGATCCCGCGGGAGGATCCGACCCCCCAGTTTCCTCGGCGCGGCCCGATCTAATTGTTTCGATCTCGATTGGCGAGATACAGTCGCATACTTTCGTCATGTATTATTAAGCGTAAGGAAAAAGAATTGTGAGAAAGAGACTTCGTGGGTCCCGCGCACGTCGATCTCGCCATTTACTCTGTCCTCTTTCCGAAATTTAACATTTTGCACAAAACATATGGCGCATTATTCACGCAGAGCCTAACGTGAGAAACGCTAGAGACAATAGGGAGTAAAATCTGTAAGTTGCATTGTTAAACTTGCGACCAAAAAAAATGATGATACGAGGAGAAATTACGTAGATTCAAAATTGCCTCCACAATTTACGCCCTTCCCCTGTTCCTCGATTAATTAATTAACTCGTCGCGTTGGGACAGAATCGATGAATCGTTCCGATTATTCATTTCACGTCCAATTACCGTCGTCAAATCGACGTTACCATCCAATTACCACCAAATCTGACCGATATTACGATTTATCCGTTCGTTTATTTACTCATTTATTTTCGACCCTAGAACTTACACCTTCAGATCGTAATCAATGCCGCTTGGTACGTTAAATACCAGACAGAAAGCGATTTAAAGAAGAGAATACAGAACGTCGCATTCAAGTCGTCCTGCCAATCGCGAATAGCAATTTGCAACCGACTCGCGCATTCATTATTTAACAACATCGACGCCATTACGACGCCGTAACTTGGCGAACGGAATGCGGCCAATCACACGAATACACACAATGTTCGAGATCACTCACCAGCTCACTCACCAGCTCCCCTTCGCCGTCGACACCTGTCCTCGTCTCGTCCGTCGCTCCTTGGTCAACTCCTCCATGCCCCGAGACGTCGACGAAGAAGACGTCTAGTGACGATCGCACTGAACGCGCTGATCGACGCAACGACGATCGTCCGCCATTCGACACACTCGTCACCCGCCGAATTCCGCCAGTACGCAAAGATTGTTAATCGCGGTCGCGCCGTTCGGTTGATCGAGCGATCGACGCTCCACGACGATCACCAGTCGCCGACACCCCCGACGCTTGTCACGCACTCCCGATGAGCGAGAAAAACCGCGAGACACGACGAGCACCCGTCGAACGTTGTCCGTTGACCACCGATACGTTCGTGAAACTAACGACGATCCTCGGATAAATTCGGATAAATTCGGAGAACGCGCCGACAACTTCACGTCGCTCCGCGGGGGAACGATCGGTTTCGCGAGGATCCACGAAAATCCGTTAATCGCGGGAGGAAACGTCGATCGACATCCTCGATGATTCGACCGAGTTGCTCGATACGCCACGACGGTACGTGTCGACGCGGAATCGCGTCTTTCGGCGAAAAAACGACGTGTAAGCACGAAACGACTACGGAGCTCGCATTCCAGAGCGAGCGACGCGCGCTGATTGTGCGACAGGTGACTGGCTAGTCAACAAACCGCTTGCCGGCCGGCGCGTGTCCTTCGTCATTCGCGTAAATAAAAAAACGTTGCTGTTATCGCGTAACGTTCCAGCGACACGTACAGCGTGCGCGTTATTCGTCTCGCAGATTTTAGTACGATCGATACTCACGGATAATCGTCGTGTCATTATGCATAACGAACGACGGGGAATCCCGATGGAATCGCGACGAGTGTAATGTCCGACGTTATTAATCGCGGAAATATCTTCTTCTTTTTTATCAACAACGTTTCGGCCGGTTCAGGCTCGTTGAAAGTCTTATTAGTATGTCTCAGCGATTATGTCGATTTATCAGTTGACTTGACTTACTCCGTTAGTACCGACGTGAAGTTGCCGCTTAGTGTTGCTAACGTCTCGCGTAACGTCGCGGAATCGGGAGCACGGAAGACTCCATTAATGCTGTCCTGTTCCCGAAGTGCAGCGACATCGAAATTTCCAATCGGGAACATTATTTGTGCATCATAACTTTTGAGGACTTGGTGAGTCGACAACGATTGCATGATGCACAAATATTCAAAAATAATTGGCCTAATTGGAAATTTTCAGTTTTACTGTGTCTGAAGGAAAGGGGCAACATGAACAAAGTCTTTTGTATAATGACAACTTCGTTATCTGAGTGCGCGTTGGAGAGTGTATTGTGTGTGAAATGAATTTCGGAAGTGACAGAGTGACGGACGATCGTCGTCGAGCGGAGCTTCATGATCCAAGATCTGCGTCCACCCGGTATAAGAAACAGAGCGACCGGCGAGAAGGAAACGGCATCGGCCGGTGAGTAAATTCATCTGTTCTATACGAGCAAACAATCGTTTCCTCTCTTCAATCATGACGATTTGATAAGAAAAATATGTGTGCGGCGCGCGCACACACATACGTACAGGCTGTCTCCTGTTTCACGGTTTGCACTGAAAAAAAGTTTGTATCGAACGTATTTGACAATGGATAACAAAACGTGTTTTAGGGTATGTTTGTAAATACACTCGGAGAAATGACTTAGCAATAGCTGGTCCAAATTTTGCTGTTATTGCTAAAAACTGGTTATTAAAAATAAAATACATTTGCTACGAGATACAACTTTATCAGCTGAAATTATTATAATATAAATATAATTATTCAAATTGAGTAGTTAAGGTTGATTAACTGTGCTTTCTACCTGGCTGTATAGACGATACGAAATACGTTTATACCAAGTGACCAAGTGATGTAGTACCTGAGGTGATTAACTCGTGATTCAGAAATCTCGAGTTCGAGGTCATCAGTGTTTAATCGTGTTTTTCAAATACGACATAGCATTAATTTAAGTAAGTGACCAAATTGCAGACAAAATCAGTATATATTTAACATCGTACAGGACAGCTTGCGTTAAAAAACAGAAAACATTAAATTCCTAGTTAAGAATGTGAATATGATTTTAGTATTATTGTGCGTTTTAGCTAATATTTTACGCTGTAGTGCCTAAATTCAAACAGCTAATAAATTTAGTTGCGGTAGCAACGACATCAGTTGTTTTATAAATTTGCTAAGGAGCATTGAAGTGATTATTTATCTGAATCTCTAGCATTTTTTTCTGCATGACGATTAGAAATTTTGTTCTTTCAGTCAAAACACGTTTGGTTGTCCATTGTCTGGTAGAATCAACCATATTCATTTTTCAGTATGAGAGACAGTATCGCGACGAAATTTCCATCATCCTTTTCGCGAGTTCTAGGGTCCGATTCCCTTTTTTTTTTATTTCATCCTCTCTCGTATACCGACGCGAAAAGTTAATGCAGTATCCTTCGCATACTCTCGTAATCGCGTCGTCCTGAGGACGTTGCAACGATGGACGCGTGTTCTCTGTCTGCTCATCTATCGTCCATGATCGTAACTGAAGGCGATCCGCCTCTGTCCAACGATTTTCTTGATCCTCTCACTCCCAAATCACGTGTGAAATTTGCTGAGAAGTTATTTGCGAGTTATTTTTACAACACATCGATGGTACTATTGTCTGTTTACATCAAGTATTTTTCATTATCATTGAGAAACAAAATAAAGACGTGACGGTAATTCAATCCCACGTGTATTCATCTTGTCACAGAAACGTTTTAAATAAAAAAAAAAAGAACGGAATAGACAGGAAGAATCTATTGTGTTTGTCCCAGAGATCGACAGATGTTGTATATTTTCTTATGGAAGCGAGAGGATTAACGATAAAACGAAGAGAGAGTATGCGTGTGAGAGTCGTGAAGGAAGCGGAAGAAGGGAGAGTACGCGAACAATTAACCCACAGATGGGCCGCGGGCGTTAATTAGTTGCTTAGCGATTAGCGGTACAAGTGACAAGAGAAAACCAGAAGATACGTTTGTATTATTGTACACCTCGCGCTAGAATTTGGCGTAGCACGAGTTCTGACTTGACGCGCTAATGTTACACTTCGGCGACGATTAACTAATAATTATACCGCGCGTGCGAGAACGATATAAATATATACATGCATGCATATACACATACATACGTACATACATACATACATACATGCATACATGCATATATACGTATGTATGTATGTATATATTTATATCGCATATACATATATATATATATATATACATAAAAAGTATATTATATAAGGAGAAGAAAGAAAAAAATGTTACTAGGTAGCGATAAAATACGTGGTAGACGATAAAAAGAAGGCTTTAGTGTATATAGTTTTGTAAAGTGTTAACTATAGTAAAAAGATCTACGAGATATATATATATATATATATAAACATATATACATATACATGTGAATGTATGCATGTGTATATACGTATGTATGTACATATATATACAACGCTGCGAAAACGTACGAGCTTCGTACGCTTCACAGCTGATATCCATTAATTGCAAGTTCTCGTTGGCGGTCGAAGGCGTATAATTGGTGAACTGTCATTTCGTTAAGCATAGTTGCATACTGATTAATATATCGTGCGTAAGGCGGAAGAGGAACGTTAATGGTTACGTATATAATATGTGATATACGCGTAAAAATTTTAAGCTGTCAATAGAATGTCCTAACATTAAATATTATAGTGCCATTAAAGCAGAGATTCTTCTCACTCGCAATTACCTCTCACGTTTCATCTCACGGAGGACGTATATTATGTTAGTATTATACTTTACGCGTTCTCAGCGTATTTCCCAGGGCGGTCGGCGAAGAAGAACGAATGCGATAAGGTAAGATAAATGTTCTCATGAAATTTACAGAAGGTAACCGAAACTTTTCCCTCGGGCTCGCGCGTGCGAGCACCAAAATTACGTTTATGGCGAGATATTTATTGGTCTTAAGAATAAAAGTACACGTACATATTCCACATTCAGGCGCTACATGCGGAAAGTCAATGGTCGCAGTTCGCGGGGAATTGATCAGTAACAGTTGCAACGATCGGTCGGGCAATTGGACGGATAACGTATGCAGCGTCTCAGGCAGTACTGGTCGGCGCCCGGTCGCTCGGCGATGTCGCCGATAGCGTCGCACGTCTCTCTGCGAACATAACGAGGCGGAAGTGAGAACATTTGCGAAATGTGCGGACACTACGTCGAGAGGACGTCTCACGATAATCACGCGACAAATGCGATTGATCGATCGTTCGGTGATCCGCAGTTAATTGTGATTCGTTAAAGTAGCCGACCGGTAGGACGACTTAATACTCACGGACAGTGACATATACTCGGCGGGCAATTCGACGGGACGCGAATGCAATTCACCTGACACCACTCGCTCATGTTCTGCCTGTGTCGGTAAGCCGCGGTAGGCTCGCACACTTGAGCCCTGAAATCGCGAACATCCAATAATTAAAAGTGAATTATATAAAGTAAAGCGATAGCTCTACCCGAATCGAAATGTTGACTCTGTATCGAACTTTTAATCCTGCAGCACAGTAAGATCTAAGATATAACTTCAATTCTAACGATATAATTTACTTCAATTTTCACCATGATGGCGCCTTAAATTTCCGTTTTCGTTGTTTTTAGCATCGAAATAGTTTGTTTCAAATATTCACGTGAATTTCCTCTACTCGTAATTAATATACCAAAGGGAACTGTCCCGTAAATAAATATATAATAATAATAACGGTGATAATAACAATTTAATAATCGAAATATATCGGGAGCATTTATAGCTTCAAGGTAGCAGTGCGATTAAATTCTGTGGACTTAAAAGTTCGAGAAAGAAGTTAGTAGGTGTAGCATCATCAAAGTGGGTTTATATTAGACTATAAGCCATCTAAGTAGATTCAAGTAGATCAAATTTTCCTTAAGAGCGTCAAAGTAGCATCGAAGTTTCGATTCGGGTCGTGAATTGCACTCGTCAATCGATAATTCACCTCAACGGTCGGACTAACGAGGTGATGGGGAATTTCGGAATTAAAGAGTAGAGCCCAAAGATGGTGTTCTGAGTTAAGAAACGCGGCGGTATGCCGCCGGTACTAGTCAGGATCCTCACGTCGGCGCAGTTGCGGAAGGTCTCCGGCCTGCCGCATCCGACGGCTTCCGTGCCGTTCTCGCAGGTGCCCCACATATTTCCTGAGGAAATCAACAAGCGATACGCAGTGAGAAGTGAAATTTAGAGAATATAAGTGAGATATATCGTACCTGTGTAGTAACTCCATTGCACCACGCAATGCGAACAGGTGATGTACGGCGGTAGGGTCACCGAGTATCGTATGATCCCTTTCTTCGCTGTGTCGCGCGGAATCTCGAAACGGACGTTCTTCGTCCCGGACACGTACAAAGGATAACTGCGCATCGAGAAGTGTTAATGACGACCGTCCGGATGCGAGGAAAGAAAGAAGCGCTAGCTTCTCACGCAAAAAATATATTCATTCACTTGCACTTTATCTCGTTTCATCTCGCTAATATAATATTTACGTAAGTTATATATATGTCAAGTTATATATATGTCAAGTTATATATGCTGATTTATCTCATACAACAATCTCCTGTGTCGTATGAAAATACTTACGAGTCGAAGCACTCCTGCGTCGCCTCGCGCGATGGATCGTTGTTGGGACAAAGGTATATCTCGAATCTCCCGAAATGATTGGCGGTGAGGTCGATCTCTACGTCAATGTCCTCCAAACAAATTAAATTGATTAATTAAATTCATCTCATTATGATTTCTTCGCAGATTCATTCTCGGGGACACGTAAAATTTTCAAGAGGAAAACGTTTTACTTCGTGTTATGCACGAGTGGAAATGATGATTGGTTTGAACGCGAAAATATCGGGATCCACGTTACCTGGCCAGCCAGGTAATGCCTAGCTATAATTCCATTGGCAAACTCGCCGCCGGCTTCGTGAGGACGAGGGGATGCCAGATGATAGGCGTCGCCGCAAAGACCGCACTTGCCTTTGTTTTGCTCCCAATGCACTGTTCAACAATTCTCGTTAATATCAGCGTTAACAGTGAAATGTGCAACAATTACAGAATTAACGCTAGGACGTATGCCAGCGCATTTGCATGAGATTTGCGTTGAAAAGCGTGAGAAAGACCGCGCGATCGACCTGCGATAAACGAAGTAACATATAAAATATATATAATATATAAAATATATAAAGATAATATATAAAATTTGTAAGGTACACTCGTTCTGCCGAAACATAGCGGGATATTTTTGCGCCGGCGACCGTTTTCTAGCAATTCTAATCAGCGGCAATTCGTGGACGAACCTGCGTATCCTCCGCAGAAGAGCTCGTTGTCATTGTAATTCACCGGGTTCGGGTAGCCGAATCGCCACATGCAGTTCCTCGCCGGTGGGTCCATTAATCTGCCATGGCCGTGGATCTTATCGGGCAACTTTTCAAATCCCCGTCGCGACGAAGCACACGCGAGAGCGAGAGCGAGAAGAAGTAAAAGTGTTACGCAAGAACGCAGAGAGAACTTCGTAATTACTCTATACTTTTTTTTTCAATGCGATTCAATTTTATATGCAATGTCATTTAAAAAAAAACGGACGGCCTCATTACTTTTACTCGATACTTGAAGTATTAAGGGCACGTCCGTGAGAAAGTGTTGTGAAATTGCGAATTACGCGAGAGACTGTGTCGAGCGTTTCCAAAGACAAGTCGGCGCAATGTCGAACTTTCATCGTTACTGGCAAAAGTAAGAGTGTAAGATACGTAATAAAAAAAGAAAAAAACACAAAAAACGCGCACATTCACTAATCAAAATCGGTAGTCTCGTTCGTCCCGATATTACGGGATATCGAATTAGATGTCGTCGCGGCCGAATCTCGCGGGTACCACATAACAGAACAGATGGTCTTACCTGTACGAAGATGTACGCTATCACGAGCAGGATATCGTATCGTCGATGCCTAGTGATCATCTTTCCCCTGAAAGCAGTCATAATTAACGTCGTACGAAGCGCTCGTCCGGATGAGGCGATTCTTCTTTCTGAGCGCGAACACGGAGAGACCGATAATATATATCTCTCGCGCCAAAAGACTCGCCGGGAACCGTTATTCGTCGGACGAGAAAAAAGAATTCATTACGAAGCGGACGTAAGATGCGATCGTTTAAAATTCAGCCGCCGATCACGAGCCTTTGTAAGGCGGGCGTAGCCGAGAGGAGGCTGCGAGAGGAATTTTTGGCGTGTGTCTAAGGACGAGGATTATTCCGGGATATCGAATTAGGCGTCGTCGCGCCCGAATCTCTAATTGTAATATCAAATCCCACCTTCGAGGGATCGATGGAACGAACGTTCGCGCGGAACGTCCTTGAATCATCAGCTGGGGAGCCGAATCTTGCGTAAGAGAAGTAAGGCGACGTGTGTATTGTGCCAAGGGTGTTACGACAATAACGTCAGCAGCGCGTCGTTGTCGGCACGTATTGTGTCACGCATTAGGCGACACGCGCGCGCGATTAGGACCGACGCGCCAAGGATCGATCGCTCGGGTGTCCTTTTACCAATGTCGATTGTATCTTTTTGCATCAATTAGCATTCCCGAGTAATTCTACGATATCGGTCTCGTCCGTTGAGACTCGTCGATCGACGTGGAAATACCGGTAGCTTTCCATAAATTAGCGACCACATCTCTTGTTTATGGAACACGTTTCTTTTTCCTTGAATAAAATCACATCTGTGATTAGAATATATAATTATATTTCAGCACCGAATTCTCAATAATATCTATGCGTTCGCTCTCAGAATAGTTCTAATGTAATCAATCGGAGACCTCTAGAAAATTAACCGACTGATTCTTTAGTTAGAAACGTCTGTGAGATAATCACAGTCTTTAATGGATTAATAATTAACTTCTCTTTTTCTCTCTTCTCTTTTTGTGCTTCTCTTTCCGTTAGGCTGGAACCTAACTAGGAATCTTTCGAGCACCATATTTCTGATCTGCCCGATTCAGAGCTAAATCACGTAATGACGTGATCGTAAATTCGCATAATTTATGAGAGACGATGATTCGACTCGGGAGGGATTATAACGGCGTTCTAAGTTTCTCGACTCGTCGAAATAACTGTGTCTTTAAAACGCGACTAATCGTACATGCGGCATACGATTTGCATATATATTTCGCGTGAAGTTTCTTGACTCTCGCGGCCGGTCATCCGCGTGGAAAGATTTCATTGTCTATCGGAGCTCGCTTTTTTCCCGTCCTGCGGAATTATAACGAGCAATAACTTTCGGCTCGAGTAGTTGGACGAGTTGAGAATGGTCGCATTCGCGTTCGCGACAACAGGATAAATGGATTCCCGGAGTCACAATGGGACACATTCGTTGGCGGTCTAAACAAAACGAAAGATTCGTCGAATGTAAAACAGAGAGCTGGTTAACCTTCGCCAGAAGCGGCTTTATCTCGTGCTATCAAACCACGGTGACAAACGGAGGAAGGGGGCGAGTCGTCGAAGGGACGCCTCGGACGGGGAGAAACCGTGTTCGAGACGAACGAAGGCGCGATAGAATGGAATTCGAAGTGGCTGCGGTGACGATCGCGCGACGCGTAAATCTGACACTTATAACACAAGGCTGTCTAGTTTTGGCCATCCTTTTCCCGATCCATGCCAGCCGTTTCGCGATCTCCGCCGTCGAAATTCCTCCGGATGAGGATGGGAGTCGACGACCGTTCAGCACAAACACGTCGGAGAAGCGCCGCTAATCACGCCTATAGAATGGCACATCGCTGGGAAAAATGCAAAGCCGAACGGTATCGCTGATTTGTCTCGCGAAACCTGGACCAAGTAGGAGACAAGAATGTAAAAAATCGGTAAGCTCGTACGAAAGAAACAAACCCCGTTAATTGTGTGACCGAATATCTGTTGCCCGGAAACCGGACGAAAACTCGGTTGCAGGAGCAGAAAAATTTCCGTAGGAAGTCTCTATTCGGTCAGATCGCTCTCAGTTGTCCCAATCGAGATAATTTTTAATGCAGCCGAACGTTCACACGAATGTTTCCGGTTCTTGATAACGAAGATATCATTCCTTCGTCACTGAACTTTCATTTCTTATCGCCGAGTCTTCGTCTCATCCAATTACAGGGGAATTAAGATTCTTTCCCTCGCACTTGAAACTTGCTCGTGTTACGTTCGAGCCGGCAGCTCGCTTTTAGTTGATTGCAATATTCTCGTGATTAGTTATCGACGATTAAACAATGGGACGTGGCCGTTCTCGGCCGAGTTTCTTCGACTTATCGGACTTCAATAATCGGACTTCGCGTCCTGAATTATATATATGCAGACTGCACCGCGATGGCCTCGCGCAGTTACCGAATTTGTACGCCGATCGCGGGCCCGGGCGACGTTTTTGTTAACTGCCTTATTATCTCTACTCGTAAATACGTCAGACGCGCGAATAAATATAGGGATAAGCTAATAAGCTCACGGGAATACGAGCGATCGTAAGTTATCGACGGGAATACGAGAATCCTCCTCGTGCCGTATTCTCTGCGCTGTATTGAGTCGTTCGCCCGATTCGAAAGTTGCGGTCATAAATTACCGGTCATTCGAGCGCAGACTGCATTACTGCTCCGTAAAATCTTAATATATTCGAAAAAAGTTCGCTTTTTTCTCCGTCTTCTCGAGATTGGCGTTAAATTTTCGGGATCGCTGTAATTTGAGATACGCGAATAAAAGAGTTAGAAATTCTTCTCCACACCTAAACGAGATCGGGTTCGCCAGGTTAAATTGTGTCCTTAGAATATCAGCGAAATCACAAACCAGGAAAGAAAGAGAAAGAAAGAAAGGAGGGAAGGAAACCGAGGCATCTTCGGTTTCCACGAGCGTGCATGCCAAGGTCGCGAACTCTACCGACTCATTTTTAAGAAGAAGATGCAGCAATTTTCCGCAGCTTTCCATCGCGCGCCTCGTCTCGACCGGCCATCGGAAACGCGAAAAGATTCGCGAAAGAACCGCGGTGTATATATGAGAGAAGATGCTTCAAACGCTAAAAAACACTCACAGTAAATATATATATACAGAAAAAAACTAGTCTTCAAATAAAAAATAGATACTCTCATATATAAGCAAGAATATTATAATCTTCCTAGAAGACTCTCAGTCTTGATTTGATTGAATTTCTATCGACGTAAATATTAAATACTTGAGCTCACTTCGAGACTAAAGATCTCCCAAGAATATTATTATATTTTTGCTTACATATGAGAACATCTATCTTGATTTAAGACTAATTTGTTTCTGTGTATAAGGACACAATATAGTGACCAACTATCCAACGCATCAAGAGAGATCGAGAAAAAGTGAGCTTCGGTATGAATTTTCCGACGTTAACTTCCACCCGTGATACCATCCTGACGAGTTTCCTCGCCGAACCCCATAAAGCACCCGGAACCGCCCATCGACCTAGACCCGGCGAGTCGATGCCTGCAGCTCGCATATTAATCCGGTTATGAATGACGACACATAAAACGCATCGATACCGTACGCTATACTTACTCGGGTGTACGTGCTCGGCTTCGGCAATTAATCGGCTGCTAAGCGGACGAGGATCGAAGACGGAGGTCGTGCTCTTCGAGGCGGGAGGGTGTGTGCTCGCGCGCAGTCGTCGGGTCAAGTTACTCGGTGGATGTCACCGGACCGATCTCTCGGTGTTCCGCGCGCCGGTCGGGACGGGCCCACTCGAGTGCGTTCGCGCGAGTGACAATACGCGTCGCGCGCGGCCCGAGTTGCCCAAAAACACAACCACCTCCACCTCCGGGCAAAGGACTAAGGCGTGGTTTGCAGGTGACTCCGACGATGTGTGATCGCGAGGCTGCATAGGTGGGGACGATCGGAGTGGAAACTGGAAAATTGATTGAGCCATTTGGCATTCTGGATCACGCGCGGGGGAATCGCGCGATCGGTTTCCCGATGCCGAAACTGCCTCTATACGGGCGTCTATACGGGCTCACAAGGTCGGGCTCTCTTGTCTCCGAAGTCTCTCTCTCTCTCTCTCTCTTTTTCGCTGTCGCTCTTTCTCCGTCGCTCGAAACGAAGTGAGATACATCCTTATTCCGAGACCGTCGAGAACGACGAGATCCAAGACCGATGACAAATCGACGCATTGTTGTCGGCTGCGAACCTGTCCGATGGGTCGATTCTCCGTCTCCAGTCGGCGAGCGATCGTAATTGGTCATTTACTCCCCCCGTCCTTAGTAACGGGGTCAAGCGCAGTTTAAACACCGCGACACTCTCTCGATGAGACGCACATTGGAGAAAAAGATTTGGTAGAATCAACGAAAGTTTGCTGGAACTACCCTGGTGGAAATTTCACGCATTTCTTTTTTTCTGAACAGTTACTGTACAGTTCATTAGCTTCTGTCTAATAATTGCGGGGTAAAACTACTTGTGACTTGAAACTTCTAATCAAGATGCAACGCTTTTCCTGCGTTAATGTACACGAAAGATTCGCAAAATCTGAACGCAGTTACTGAACGAAAACAGAACAATAAATGGACAAAAAATTGTTCAATTGATTAATAAGCGAGTCTGCTGCTCATAAAATAGACAGTTTTGCGCTAGAAGAACCTTGGAATAAAACTTTATCAAGTTCTTGTCCATTTCCATCCAAGAAGCAATCCAGCACGAAAACAAGCATCGTGTGCCGCTGGCTTAAGAAAACTGCATATATTTCTACCAGAGTAATAACATCTTGCCGATACTATTTCGTCGATTCAACTGCTTTCTTTCCTCAGCGTACGTTCGCGCATCATCCGCGTGCGCTCGTCCCGGACTGCTGGCTGGCGGTTCGCCGATGACGATCGATCGCAGCCCGCGCAGGGAAAAAATCTGCGATACGATAGAATTTCGATTATTTCTTACGCAATTCATACGTGCCTGAAGAATTACTAATACCTTTTCTTGACTTTCCTTAATATAAAGCTCATAAAGCTCGTAAACAGCGATAAGAAGCCGTAGATAACGGCCGATCGAATTAACAGCGCGAAACGATTTAAATCGCGCCGAGGACGCGCGTGCGAGCGAGCGAGCGACATGGAAAATGTATTCGAATTTATACTTTCACTTTCACCGATCCCACGCGCCACTCGAAATCGCAGAATGTGTTACTACTATTCCGGACACGAAGTGCGATATATTCGTCGGCGGGACGACGGACAGACAGACAGACGGTCAATTGTGTAACAAGGACGATAATTCAATCGCTCATATCGATCGGTGATAGTTACTATCGCAGATAGACGAGTTCGAGTAAGAAGCCCGATACTTTTGTCCTCGGTATCTCTTACCGTTTCATTTCATTGATTCAAAAATTTCGAGATTTTTCTTCGAGAGGTATATCGTGCGACCGTGTCGATACTCGAGAACGGTATTCGAGAGATAGCCGTGATAAATCGAAGCATCCCGCGAGTGCACGACGAGGAGCTGCACCACGGCACAGGCTCTCTCCAGCGAAGCGGCCGTTTCCCGCACAGCTCACGCCCTCATAGCTCGGCCGTTCGCGCGTTAAATGGAAACGCTATCACAGCCGCCAGCTATCAGAGCGGCCAGTACGGTTCCATCCCTTCCGCAGAGACGACGTGGTCGGTGAGCCAGGCAGCCCTCTCGCAGCATCCGTGCTCCCATTGTGAACGTACGATGCTCGTTAACAAGTGCGCTCTGGGCGCGTGTGCCTCGCGCCGACAACTGCTCAATGGTATTTATCAATTTCGTTCTCGTTCCGCGGACTCCTTCGTGTAAATTCGTGGATCGTGAGGTAAACAGGGAGGGAGAGAGAGAGAGAGAGAGAAGGCCGATCGGATGGGAAAAGCACGCCTTTCCGTCGCGGGTACGCCGAGCTCGGCAAAATCGATAAATTCATCCCGGTTCCTCACAGCTGTTCCGTCGCCCCGCGAGCCTCGAGAACTCCTCTGTGCTCCTGTCCTCTGCAAAGCGAGAGATAATAGTTGAGTGACATGCGATAGCGAAATACCGTTAATGACAATTGAACAATGCGCTATTAGGAAATTGACGTGGACTCTCTCTCTCTCTCTCTCTCTCCTTCTTTATCTCGCTCGCTTGCTCGCTTTCCGCCCTGACGTGTTCCGCCACGTATCTTCAATACGTAGTCTCTGAAGTAGTCTTCTTTCCGAAAATACTTTCGGCCTCGACCTTGGACGCGGTGCAGCGTGTTAAATTTAAATTCCTCGTATTATCTCGCAATCCGCGCGCACCTTAGGTAACAATTGGCAAACTGATAAGCAAATCAGCTTTGCACGATGCTTGCTCGTGCCAGAAGCGTGAAGTTTGACTTGCCTAATTTGCATACACGCGAGGTATTGTACGCGATCATGTTCGTACGTGTGCGAATTGTAGATAAATATGCCGGGAAATTATTTCAACGTTGAGATCGCCCCGAAATATCACGAAGGATAAATTTGTCGACTGTTACGGTTGAGTTTTGCTGACCGACGGAATATATTATTAACACTCTATCGTGTACTTTGCGTCGTTGTGACGTTGTGAGATCGCGAGGGGCGATGTGAAATCACAGCGATATATCAGCCAATCATCCTTAACTGGTGTCAATAGAAATAATTGCCCAAGCTGATCTACCAGGCTTGAATGAGCCAGTTAGATAGGTTTTCCTGTCCGAATATCAACTTAATTCGTGATCCGGTTAGGCGCAAATGAATTTCACATGAGTTTCGTTGATTAGGATCGATTAACACATCGTCAACGCGTTGTGCCTTACCTTTCTAAGATACTTTTAACACAATTACAAAATGTTTTTTACCTGTACGAGTCAATATAATAAAATCTAAAAGAAAAATTATAATTCTTCCTTAGAGAACTATAAAAAATTTAGCTATGGATCGGTCGATCAACGATCATCGAGAGAAATAAATTTACCCGATCGGTTGGCAATGTGTGGAGGACGAATTCCACTACGTAAAAAATATTGTGCCAAAAACGATTTATTGAAATTTTGTGTTATTTTAACACGGAGAATATGTTAAAAAGTACGCAAATGTGTTAATTTAACATTATGCCTGTATATTTTTCAACACATTCCCCATGTTAATATAATACAAAGTTTCATTTCATTTGGCACGTTTTAACATAAAATCTGTTATTTTGTACGCCGATAAAAAACAATATGTTTGAATTTACCTAGAATGGACAAGTGTCGAACGCGTTTTGCCCGAAGGAAACAGAATTTACCTGATTATAAGACCGAAATTTGACTCGTGAAAATAAGAAATTCCGTCCCTTCATCCGAAGCGCGTCTGATTCGTCCGTTTCTAAATTCAACCAAACCATTCTTTCAACGTAGCGAGACAGACCACGTGCTCGAGAGTAGGAGCGACCTGGAGCAACGGGAACGGTCGTCTCCGGCCGGCCGTCGCGTGTGCTCCAGTACGCACGGAGAGGAGAAACGCGGGGGGGCACTTATGTCGGTTTATAATGTTGCAGGCGTTGCAACGTGGAGGAGATGCTTAACCGGTTCGGCGTCGTCGAGGGAACCCACAGGGCCGATAGTGACGACGGAGATACCGGGTCCTCAGTCGCGCAGCATGTTACAAGAATTGAACGCGATACAAGTACGTTTCATCGTTAGCATCGTTCAATCAGCTCTGCCACGGAGCGCCGCACAATCTTGCAATTATGCGCGTAATATCTAATTTGTCCGTTGCGACTCGCACGAGTCCGCCTCGCTCTTTTCGCGAATTTCTCGCACGATCGAACATTCACATGACGGCCGCAATTCAAATTCTCCTGGCTGAAATCCATCGATATGTAACGAATCGTGATAAACATAGCGTGAACAATAAAATCAAGCGTGCGATGTCTTCGGCAAACATTGCTCCGTGTGTACCGAAGACACACGAGAGAAAGAGAGAGAGAGAGAGGGAGTGGCTCACACAATGTTGCGATCTGTGATCCTCAGCAAGCCTCTTCCGTACAATTCTTCGTAGACTACGAGAGATCCGCCGGCAATTACATAATGGACGTCGACGGGAACGCGTTGCTGGACGTTTACATGCAAATCTCGTCGATGCCCCTGGGGTACAATCATCCGGCGATGTTGGAGGCTCTCGCCGATCCCGTTAATCAAGTGAGTAGCGATATAAAGCCACTCCGCCGAGATATTCACCTTCTTCTTTTCTCCTCGTCTCCTTTTTCATCGCGCGCGCGAAATTCCCTCGCATGCTGATTCGTCCTCGACAGGATATATCACTTAGACTTTAAGTGCAGCACAGCTCGATAAGCCGCCGGACACGGCGGTGATTCGAAGAAGCGGCTGCGAACTGTCTCGCGAATTACCTCGCGATAAAACACGACACGCTCGGGCGACGCGAGCTGACGGGATATTCCACGTGTGTTTCCTCTTGCAGAAAATTATGGCGAACAGGCCGGCGTTGGGAGTCTTCCCGGGCAGCCAGTGGGCTGACAAATTGAACAGGGTTCTGCTGAGGAGCGGGGTACGTGAAGATAACAGAGCCTCTCTCGGTTCTGTGACTTTCTTTCGATCATCCTCCCCATTCCGGTTCGTCTTCCGTTGGTCACGGCTTAAATTCAAATTCCTGATTCGGACAGGTCACCCCGCCCGGACTGTCGCATCTCACGACGATGATGTGCGGCTCCTGTTCCAATGAGAACGCCTTCAAGAACATATTCATCTGGTACGCCGAGAAACAAAGGCAAGGAGCGCCGTTCACGAAGAAGGAGATTGAGTCGTGCATGATAAATCAGACCCCTGGCTCACCGCGATTCTCCATCATGTCTTTCAAGGGTACGGTATTATTATTGTTATTTTTTTGCTGCAACTTTTAGCGCAACCTGGTGACATGCTGATTGGTCGGTGCGCTTTTTCTCTCTGTTTCAATGAACGGACGCCGCATTCTTTTTTTCTTATTAATCGCTGAAGATGACCCTCGCTCGCTCGTAAATCGACGTTTAACTCTTACTCGCCGTTAATGTTATGATGACATCTGTTTCATTGCTTGATTGTACATTGTTAGAGTCATTTCTGTACTGATTGTTATTATTGTCATCACACCGGTCGATCGACTGTACCGGCAAACGCGCGAGTTAGCGTTTCTAATTAGGAACGATTTTTTCCCTTTCCGGTGCGTTCAACGGCAACAGGAGCGTTCCACGGTAGAACTCTGGGCACTCTGTCGACCACGCACAGCAAGTACATTCACAAGCTGGACATACCAGCCTTCGACTGGCCTGTCGCCTCTTTTCCCGGCTACAAATATCCCTTGGAGGAGAACGCGCGGCATAATCAGCAGGAAGACGAATGTTGCCTCGCTGAGGTGTTCTATTTCGCTGTTTCTACAGTTTGCTCAAAGCACGCGTAAATACGAATAGATTTGAAAACCGTACGATATTTCAGGTCGAGGAATTATTCGAGAAGTATAAGAAGGAGAAGAGAACACCGGTGGCCGGCGTGATAATCGAGCCTATTCAGGCCGAGGGCGGTGACAATCACGCGTCGCCGGAATTCTTCCGGCAGCTGCAACGTATAATTCGAAAGGTAGAGCGCACACATCTCTCTTGGAGTAATTATCGTCGTTAGCGGTTATGAAATAATCGAAATGAAAATGCTGCTATTGTTGTGTTCTAACGCTTAACACTTCAGAACGGAGCGGCGTTACTTATCGACGAAGTGCAAACCGGCGGCGGTCCGACGGGGAAGATGTGGTGCCACGAGCACTTTGAGCTGGACGGCCCGCCCGACCTGGTGACCTTCAGCAAGAAGATGCAACTGGGAGGCTATTATCACACGGAAGCTTTCAGGTGAGCGTTCCCTTTGCGCCGATCCAATAATGCTATATCCTCAAGGAGGATTAAAACTCGCGCGCAAATTAACTGTACGTCGTCACGCAGGCCGAAGCAGTCGTATCGCGTGTTCAACACTTGGATGGGAGACCCCAGCAAGGTGATTCTGCTGGAAGCGATCCTCGATGTGATAAGGAAAGAGGACCTCTTGGATAGAGTGACGCAAGTTGGCGGCTACTTGATGAAACATTTAACGGATATGCAGAAGGAGCATTCCGGCGCGATAAGCGCGGTGCGCGGACGTGGGACGTTCATAGCGTTTAACTGCGCCTCACCTGAGACTCGAGACGGCCTCATCAAGACGCTGCAAACCAAAGGTGAGATATACAGCCGTGACGCAAGATCTACTCGCTAAAAGATGGCACTCTTTCACGCTCTCGTGCGCTCTCTTCAGGTGTCCAAGCAGGCGGCTGCGGCCAGCAATCGGTGCGACTCAGGCCCGCGTTGACCTTCACGCAGCGTCACGCCGACATATTTTTGGACGCGCTCCGCGCTAGCCTAAAAGAATAAAGGACACCGATCATGGCTCCTCGTGTCTTCCAAGGTTGTCTTCCATAAACAGATGTAACGAATACTCGCCGGTGAGATGTATCGATGTGTCTGCGAATCTACGAACGCCCATTATTTTTCTATGGCAGTTACACATTACGTACGGGCAACATGTCTGGAAATCGACGCGATCCTCTTGGCCGGTCTGCACACACGCGTACACAATGAGGTTCTAAACGATGCGAAATTGCAATAGGAAGGATCGTGCGATGAGATATCGTAATTATTATATATGTATATGTATATATATATATATAACATTGATATTTTTATTGCATTATTATATGATAGAGTACAAATTCTTACGTTTAGTCATACATTCCGTATTTGGAACAGCATTCGTTATATTAGAAAAAAGAATGGAATATGATGTAAAGGTACGTGATTTACCTTGCGCATTCGTTGACTTCTCGCGTTCGAGTTAACTGAGACAATGAACCTATATTCGAATTTGTTCATGCCGCTGGTTCGATCAATACAGTGGGAAAGTTTATTGCATGATCACGAAATGTCTTCCGGGGGGGACTGCCGATAATAAAAGTGAATTGAAACGCATCGAGACTGTGTGTCCCGACGACGTTATCGAAACGTCTCCTAGACGACATAGGTTATCATTATTCACCTAGACATCTTCTTAAGTATATCGGCAAAATGCTCGTACTCGCGATGATGACTCTTTCGTATCATGTAAGCCTTCGTCCTCATCTGCAGAAAATACCGGAGTAAGCACGCGAGACTTCAGAGTAAGTAAGTCGTATTATTGCAAGCGCCATACTTACCGTCACTTTCGGGTCCACCGAGCCGTGGCGTTGCGACAAGTTCCACAGATTTACAGCCATATTCGCCAGCGCGGGCTCCCGCAGATCCGCGCGGATGATGAAACAGTTGAACAACTCGAGCGCCAGGGCCGACTGCTTGTCGAACTGATCGGTGGATCCGAGGTACTTGAGGTGGCTCAAAATTTCCTCCACGATCTTGGAGCAAATCTTGTTGACCTCGCCGATGAACTTCTGATCGGACCCGTACAGCTTGTCGTTTGAGTCGACCTGAAACCCCGAAACACACTCAACATTTCTCCGAGAAGTTCTAATCGATTTCTAACTAATTCTTCGAGTTCTTAGTTCGTAGTTATTCTTAGCCCGTGGAGTTCTTAATTTCTAATTCTGAGCGTGAAAGTATGAGATACCTTATCGATATGGTAGGGATAATTCTCCTGCGCGACCGTCGACAGCAGGTCGAGCACACGCAAATACAGATATGACTTGGTCGAAGTGTTCTCTTCGAAACAACGTTGCACCGCGTTAAGCAAGCCTCTCATCAGATACAAGACACCGTGCTCCGGGCTGTCCTAATAGCGGGGCAATGTTACAATCACAACGTTGACGCATGATGCAACGTGTAATCGCATAATACGCACCGGCACCACCAGCAAGGTCGACAGGAAATTCGACAGGTACGAGAGCAGATACGGCTGAGAGCTCTTCTGCCGGCCGTCGATGTCGATGGTCTTCGGCATCTCCGGGACTAAGCTCAGAGCCGCTTTGAAGCAGGCGTCGGCTGAAAGAGCGATCGAGTGGAGCGAACGTGAAATCTTCGTCGTGAAGGTGAAGTCGTGAAAGTGAAGTTAGCTTACCCTGGCCCAGGCACTGATTCAAGAGAGCCACCTGCCCGGACAACAAATACAACTGAAGGCGCGTGTGGACCAGAGTCAACGACGGGATCGTGATGAAGCAGAATGCGGCGCAGGCGCGCACGAACGCCGACGTTCTCCTCGTGTGATGGCCGCGCACGATCTTCCTTGTGTCCACTGACAATCTATTTACACACTGAGCGCAAAATTGCCGAAAAAAAAAACATCAGTTGAAGGGCTTCATCTCTTATTACATTAATTAATATCTACACGTAAGACGTATGATAAGACCCCACTAGGGTTTATCCGAGGAATAGACCTTCTTTCACGTAATTCTGTAAAGAGTGACTTCCACCAAATTCTGGTGAAGCTAACTGATAAAACAATTATACAGCATACAGCGTACAACTTTTCGGAAGGGAATACTTTAGAAGTATCACTATTCTTCGTAGAAGAATGTAGAAATATCTAGTATAAAGGGGAAATTATTTCAAGTCACATCGACACTGTACCTGTACAAGTTGTATATGAACACTATCGAGATTGGGAAACGCTGCTCTGGCTTCGGCGTAGAAGCTCAGCTGCTTTTCAAAATCACGCCCGTAATCCACTCGTTGCACGAGGCCACATATCAACTGGCCGATTTGTCGTTTCTCATCTTCGACAGTTAGGGCACTACGAATCGATTCCGAATTAACATGAAGGTAAGAGGTAACAATGCTATGACGGATACGTACCTAACGGAGTCGTGCATAATCCTAGCGATGAACATTAAAGCGTTTATAATAATGGGGTCCGTAATGGGCCCATTTTGCGCGCTCAGTCCTTCTATAACAGTCTTACAAACCTCGACTTTGATGCTTTCTTTATGAAACAGATCTATTAACGGCAGAAAATTGTCCTGCGAACACACAGCGCGAAAAATCGCTTGATGCAACTTGCGCTTCTAATCCCGCCAATTATGAATGATGTAGGATTCGACAGTTAATTACCACGGCAAGAAGTGACTCGAAGTCCTGCGTGTGGGTGACTATCTTCTCAACGATATTCTGCAATTGCGGATAATAGCTCTCGAAGGCTTTGTTCGGTCGCAAACGGTCTATGATTTTGCCGAAGAACAGATTGAGCTCGTTCACCTGTAACACACACACACGCATTACAGGTCGCTTCGACGACGAACCGCCAACGACTTGACGCAAAATCCGCTCGAACTTACGGAAAAGTGTATGACGGTGAACTGAATCCAGATCTCGACGCAATGCATGAATTTGTTGGGATCTGTGAGCTCGGTCACGTATTTCCATATCACATTGAGCACCGACTGGCAATCCTCTTTCGGCGGGGACTCTCGCACGAGACACTCGCCCAAGCTGCGATACAGGAGATACTGAGGATATCCTACGAAAGGGTCATTGAAACGGTGACACTTCTCGAGTCAAAAACGTGAATCGTTCTATATCGTTCATTTAATTTCTCATATAGTATCTACCGTCGTCTTCGCTCGCCACTATCAGATTCACGAAGTCCATGGCGCGTGCGGCGATGTACGTTGGCTTGAACGCAGTCAGCACGGTATTTAACAATAACGATCTGAAGTATAAAAGGCACTGTGTGCGTGAACAATCGGTGAAATGATCGTGCGAGCGACGTGTGTCAAAAATGCTCACCCGTTTTCTTGTTTTTTACACCGAGACAGGACTTCTTCGAGGAGACTCTCGGGCGACGTTGCCACCAAGACTTGCACGATCCAGTCCAAAGCCGGCGAGTAAAGATTCAGATACGAGTGCAGGATGACGTTTTGCTTCGCTAAGTCGTGCCTCACAGCAGCACCGAACAGCTGCTGGTACGTGAAGAGAAAGTCGTACAGGTTCTCCCTTACGAATTCAAAATCCGACGTTTTGTTCAACGCCAATCCCACGCGGCATAAGTAGCAGCGCGCGTAAACCGCGATCAACGGGTTCCCGATTCCTCTTATCATACGAGTTATACGTAATAGAGCGGTATTAAATTCGCTGATATGGAAAAATATAAGAAATTATTATCATTATTATTATTATTGTTATATCTCATAATATTTATAAAATTGTTTTCCATTTTTCTTTGACTTTTCGAAACGATTGCGTCTTACCTTGTCGTTAGGAAACTGTACGACTTTATTATCGCCATTTCTACATAGAGACGCGGCACCAGTTCGCGTATAGAGGCTATCTTGTAAAACCAATTCCGACACGTCTCCTTCGCGTTCTCCGGAACCATGTCGGGTGTGAAATTATCGGGCAAACTCGTGGGTACTTTGCTCCCCGGTCTGCGAAATGGACATTGCAATTAGCAAGGGTAAAGAAAAAAAAAAAAATGAAAGAAAGCACAACTGAAAGGCAAAGATACGATAATTACTTGTAGTATTCCGCCTTCATTTTCAATCTCTCGTAAACAAGCTTCCCAAAGATATCCAAGATATCTGTGATGAGAACAAACTTGCTTGGGTAAAAAGCCATTACAGACGTATCTACTAATAATTTGGCACACTGAAATAACCGAGCGTTAATATCCAAGTCTCGTGAGCTAAGCTCCGGCTAGCTGCATAAACGATAAGAACCTGAATGGCTATTTTCAGAGCCTTCACTCTTTGGTCGGAATGCCACGCCTGTACCAGTTCGTTGTTCAGCTGCTCGATTCGCGCGGTGTATTGCTGTTGCGACAGGTCCAGCATTTGTCTAACAGAGCCTTCCTCGAAGTCGTCCAACTGCTCGAGCCGTGTCTTCACTTTGTCGACCATTGGACCGCTTGGCTGAACTTTTACTACAACTGCATAAAGCCGTATGCTTCAATGAGGGAATATTGGTCTCCAATTTTAGATATGTACATTCCTCCGCAAAATCGTATAAAAAATTAATCTGATTGAAAGAGCGAGTACCTTTTTCTCCACCTGGTAGAAAGCTGGTAACGATTGATAGTTTTTCGGAAGTTGTATATTTGCTGAGTATGGCAGAACGTCTGATAGACCAGGGCTCTACCAATTCTTCCGCCGTGTCCTTCAGCTTTTTATTGGCCAGTGCAACATTACAAGAATAATCCCACTGCAAGTAACAAATGTATGTTGCAAAGTAATTTAAGTATGCTTTAGGAAAAAAAATATAGATTATTTGTATCCTACTTCATCCGCGGCCATTTTGGAAAGAGGATCCAGTTCTTCACGAGCAAACTGTGTAAGGGGATCAGAGCCATCCAAAGAGGAATGGCTCAGCAGTGGATCACTAAGTGGATTTGCAGGGATTGGTGTATGCGTCGGCGTCGGTGTTCCAGTGGAAGAACCTGTGCTTGTACTGCGCAATACATTGCGTCTAACTGCGCTGCGTCCATCGATCAGCTATACGGGCATAATAAACATCTTTCTTTTAAAGAATCATGCAAAATACAGTATTACAATTTCAAAACTGCTTAAAACTGCATCTTACAGTGACCACAACTGGTTTCAGAGGATGTTCTACAGCTTCTTCTAGGCATGTAAATTTTACAGTTCCATATTCCATAGGCTTCGAAATCCTGCAAGAAAAATCTCTCTATGGGGAACCATTATAAAAACTTTTACGTTCGCACTGTCAGAGTAGAACTTTTTCACATAGTATTCCAAAATTATTAAAAATTACAAATTTAACAATGATAAGCTCCCTCACCATTCTATCTCCGTCATATTTCACGTGCATCGAGACACTCTTTTCTCCAATACAAGTAGAGCACAATCTATCGTATCAACATTATACATATAGTCTATCGCGTAGCTGTCGAATTTGACAGTCAAAAATACGCCCGCAAGGTTAAATGATTTCCCTCCCACTAACCTTTCCTTCCTTATGACTTCTGCCCACGGGACGCGGCAACGCTTGCCGCGCGGCGGAAGTTCGCGCGGTAGCCAATCAACATGCCATTTTTCGGTAAACACTAGAAGTTGATTGGCTGTCGCGCGAACTTCCGCAAGCATTGCCGCGTCCTGTGGGCAGAAACCATTAGTCTTGATTATTCTCCTCGCATTCGACTGTGATTGGTCAATTTCTTAAGGCTTAGAGCTTGAAGCATCTATTGTGAGCGTTCAAAAAGTACGCAGCCACGACTGTGAATTATATGAAAATTGTCCTTTTCATATGTCCTTGAATATTCGTCAAACGAATATTCGCAGCTTGAATATTTAAATTTTAACCAATTAATACACTTGCTGTACGATAAATTCTGATTTCTTTTCTTCGTTCATCGGATGTCGGGAGCAGGGTGGATTTTCAAATTGCGGCAGTATCTCCGGACATATCTCATGACAGAGGTCAGCTCGCTGTCCTCAATTTTATCACATCCGTTTCACACTCCCTGCACTCCGCTAGTCGTGTGCACGACTTCAGGTATTCGACTATTTTCACGAAAATTCGTGGAACTTAAGCATGGACGATGTTCTGGATAGCTGGGAACAGATAGAGGAATCGAGTGTAAGGTTCTTTTCGAACTCCACCTTTCAAATTGCGTATACAAGGGGATCGCATCTCGAGTTAACCTATACTTTAGCACCCGCTCCTTCAAGCATCAAATTCTCGCCGCTAAATGGTACTGAAGTGTCGGGAATGATTCTCTTCCGATCTTTCTCACGTTGGATCGCGCCTATTATTCCACCATGTGCCGCACTCGCGTTCCACTTGTATTGACTGCCAGTATTATTAATATGTACGATTCTTCCTTGTGGTGGTAATTCACATTACCATAAGGACTTGTTCTCGATGAAATGAGCGGAATCGTGGAATGTGCATAAAATACTTCCTAATTAGCGAATTCGCGCGACACTTTGCACGTATCGGAGAGAAGTGACGTGGAACTAACGGTTTTCAGGCTCTCGACAAGAAATTGAGTGTTCTTCGTTTGGATGGAGTGGAAGAAGAGTTAGAATCTTCTAGGTAAGGCGATCGTTCTTGGGACTCTTACTCCTGCTCGACATAAAACTGAGAATTGGTTATACAGTCATCGAGAAATGTATCGTCACTATATATATATCATTTCTTTGTGTGCAAATCTATATTATATATTCAATAATTTTATAGATGTAAGACCAGTAATAGTACAAACACGAGAATGATCATATTGGGAGACGACGGTATCAGGTCGCAATATGTGCCTCCCAAACCTACAGTTAAGATATTAAAAAGACCAACCGCAGACTCACGTGGGAGCGGTGATGGACCATTGTTGAACGGTGATAAACCTAAGCAACCTATTAAATCTCTAAAACAGGTATGTCAATACTCCATTTATATGTATATACATTTCGCTCTTTAGTCTATTCGACAGAGTTTATATATCACTTAGTGGCGTATAAATGTGATAAAATTGTTCGACAATTATTTCTTATATTTTTATTTGCTAATGTCTCGTACTTCATTGTGCTAAATTCGAAGTCACTCTTGAGAAAGGAAAACAGATGGAACGTTTGACAATGTAGCGAAATAATTGCAGAGGGAGCAGGAATATGCAGAGGCAAGAAAGAGGATTATGGGAGAGGAGAAAAGCCCAGAGGAGAAGTCGATACAAGACATCAGCAAGATTCAGCCAAAGTCGAGCGCACCAGGTGGTAGCGGCCTTCCGAACAACATCGTTCGCATGCCCACCGGCCCAGACGGTACACGGGGCTTCAATGTGCGTAGGTAGCGTGTCTTCCAGGGATCGGCTGTTTCCACCCATTTTCTTCCTCTCTTTCCTTCCTGCTGCCACGGTGAAGGGAGAGATCGGCTATGAGGCCGATTACGGAGCAGCTTCGCGTTCTACACACCGAAGTAAGCAATCTCGAAGCTGCATTCCACGAGTCGCCGTCACGCGCGGACCACATTCTGCAGGGTCGAGATTATGGACTTATCGAAACAAAGGAGAGAGAGAAAAAGTGCCGCCGGTGTCGTGCTGTGTTCTGTTTTGCTACGTTTTATGAATCCGGAATCGTGCGATATAACGAAACAAAGGGGCGAAGTCTAGCGAGAGAATTATTATTGTATGTATCATATTTAAATCACAGTTTTGCTTGCAACTGCATGCCCGTCGATTGTGATGTGAGAACGAGGCGAAATGGAAAATTGTGAATTCGCTATTGTAAAAATATTGTAAAAAAAAAACCGATCCTTGCTTTATCTCTTGTAAAATGTTCGAGATATCTGAGAATGAATTGTATTGAGAAAAGTCTCACTGTATATATTTGTATAATAACCGACAATTGTACGCGCAATATCTCGAGTGTTTTGTTATTAAATCAAGGATACTTTTAAAGAGATCTTTCGATTGATTCTCTGTAGCTTAGGAGAGATTATTCTTGAGGCTCTCTCTTCTACTTTACGCGATATTCTTGTGAGAACACGTTATGTATTGTGATGTATACATATATATGTACAAATGTTAAGAAATCACTTTTTATACTTCGCAATGTTTCATTACACGCGTTGAATCCTGCTTTGAAGAGTGGTAGAAATTGAGGAAGACCGAAAAGCACAAGCTGACGATGATTCATAGTGGTTATTTTAGCAAAAAGCATCGGTGACGCCTGGTACGTCAGGAACGTATGTTCTACCAGGGAGTAACTCGAAGTAAAAGTCCGGGAGTTGAATTTCTCAGAAATTGCACGCTCCTCGATATGCGACGTGATATCGAAAGCGCATAATGACGGATTTACAGTCGACGACGCACTCGGAAGCCAATGGGAGGATATATTTCCTAGGGACAAAAAATGTCACCGATTAGTTCCTAGCAGACAAATTTCCCTGGAGGAAATGTTTGGGTCGAAGACGCCGTGACGTTTAGTTTACACGGCGAGTTCTGTAGCGCCTGAGTGGTTTGAGACAAATTTGAGTGCATAAACATGTCCTTGGCGGACGAACTTCTCGCTGATCTCGAAGAGAACGATGACTCGGACGTTCCTATGGATGAACCGGAGCCGAAATTTATCCCGGCTTCGGTCTCCAAAGTCATCGAAGAAGGTTAGGTTCACAATATTTCACAATTTCATCTTACATCTCGTTCAGAGAAATTAATCGTCAACATTGCACATTACGCATAAAATCAGTTTGCCTCTTCCCCGTGCAGAGATCAAGGTTGCTTCTGTGCGGGAACTGGCGAAGTTACGGGATTCAGAGCAGTTGCAGAAGGTGATGCTGCAGATCGAGAAGTACAGCAAAGTACCCAGGAAATCAGCCGACATTGTGGGACCTGTAGAGTCCGATCCAGAGTATCAATTGATAGTCGAAGCTAATAACATGGCTGTGGACATCGACGACGAAATAGGTGAGCAATCATAGTTGATGGCACAATTTTCCTTAGTGCGAACCAATGTATACCGAATCTGATATTTTTCAGCTACCATTCATAGATTCACGAGGGATAAGTATTCCAAGAGGTTCCCAGAGTTGGAGTCTTTGGTAGTCGGACCTTTAGAATACGTGATGACCGTTAGGGAATTGGGCAATGACTTGGACAGAGCCAAGAATAACGAGATTTTGCAACAGTTTCTCACACAGGCGACGATTATGGTCGTGTCTGTGACTGCGTCCACCACTCAAGGGTAACATTCAAATATCGTTATTAGTATTCCGTGTAATCATTTGTTCGTATAATTTTTATCTGTTCTTTCCTGACACATACACACCTTTGTATTCGTGTTACAGTCAGTTGCTGACAGAAGAGGAGAAGGAGGCTATTTGCGAAGCTTGTGACATGGCGGTAGAACTGAATAATTGTAAATTGAAGATATTCGAGTACGTGGAAAGCAGAATGGCATTTATCGCGCCGAATCTATCGATAATTGTCGGCGCGTCGACGGCCGCTAAGATTATGGGTACGCAAACTTACGTCGCGCGAATTAAAGTGATGAATCAATTTATATGCAATACAGAGACGTACGAAGTTAAATGTGCAGGTGATAGTCGCTGAAATTTACTGAATTTTAATACAAAATTGCGAAACCGTTTCGGCTTTTAGGTCCTCTTCAGTCGTAATACAAATAATATTATTATATCATGAATTCTATCATGAATCCGGCCAGTCCTGAGACACATACTTGTATTGATGATGAACCAAGTAAGTTTCTATCGTAACGAAAGTCATTCGGGATTGGTTGAATTTTTTTTATTTGGAACCATCTCAACCAATCATCATTGTAAAGTACCGATCAGAAACCCATCAAATTTTTGGCTTCTTAACGTTTATGTATTGTATTGGATTCTAATTTGAGGAATTTTCTGTCACACGATTGACGTATCAATCTGTATTCCATGTTCTCCTAACCCAGGTGTTGCGGGTGGTCTGACGAAGCTTTCCAAGATGCCAGCCTGCAACGTTCTAGTTCTAGGATCCCAGAAAACCACGCTCTCCGGATTTTCGCAAGTCACCACTCTGCCCCATACAGGCTTCATATACTATTCCGATATCGTGCAAGAAACGCCGCCCGTAAGATCGTCTTCCGCACATAAATACGATAAGCCTGATAAAACCGGTGAATTCCAGAAGCCGACGTGATAACGCTGTTACAGGATCTGCGGCGGAAAGCGGCGAGGCTGGTGGCCGCTAAGAGCATGTTGGCGGCCAGGGTGGACGCCTGCCACGAGAGCACGGACGGCCACATCGGCCAGATGCTGCGCGAGGAGATCGAGAAGAAGCTGGACAAGTTGCAGGAGCCGCCGCCCGTAAAATTCGTGAAGCCGCTGCCGAAGCCGATCGACCCCGGCCGGAAGAAACGGGGCGGCAAGCGCGTCCGTAAGATGAAGGAACGCTACGCGATCACGGAGTTCAGGAAGCACGCCAACAGGATGAACTTCGCAGACGTGAGTCGTCGCGTGTATAGGATGCCCTCGTCGCGTTTAGTAAAGCTGAGTACACACCGAGCGAACGAACATGAAACGAACGAACGTTGTTCAAACTTTCGTCGTTACAATTTGGAAAATATGGTTGTACGTTATCGTAACGAATCCAAACAGAACGTTTCACGTTGATTCATTCTATCATAAGATAATTTCATCATCAAAGGATAATGTAATTATCAATTTAATTTATCGAAGAAATTCGCTCAGTGTGTACTCACTTTGATATTGAACGACAGCTAAGAGACATGTACGTCCAATCGCAGATCGAGAATGACGCTTATCAAGAGGACCTTGGCTACTCGCGAGGTACAATCGGTAAGGCTGGCACAGGTCGGATCAGGCTGCCGCAGATCGACGAGAAGACGAAGGTCAGGATATCCAAGACGTTGCAGAAGAACTTACAGAAGCAACAACAATGGGGAGGCAGTACCACTGTCAAGAAGCAAGTCTCCGGCACCGCTTCCAGCGTAGCTTTCACTCCTCTGCAGGTTCGTGCGTTTATGCGTTATGCTTTTCTGGTGCTTCGTTGAGCAAAGTCATACGGTGTGTGAAGATAACACATTCGTTTTGTTTTTACCAACAATTGTGTGTCCGCAGGGTCTCGAGATCGTCAACCCGCAAGCTGCGGAGAAGAAGGTGAACGAGGCGAACGCGAAATATTTCTCCAACACAGCTGGCTTCCTGAAAGTCAAGAAGTCATAGAGGGGAATTTTCCGATGTAGAAATAAGCAAGAGGAGGAGATATCGTTGTATATTTATTACTCTGACTAAACTTAGCTACTCTCAGTCATTCTCTTATCTTTAGCGTTATATAAAATTTCGAATTATTTACGTTAAGACTGATCATGTGTGTGGAGGAAACGGATGAGACATGTATAAAAAAAAATAGAAAGACACTTGGAAGGAAGACGGTTCGTACACAACTCGATTCGTGATGTTTCTAATCGTCCTCAATAAATGTTTCGTCGCCCTCCTCGAGCACCTCGTTCGTTTCTTTCAAAGCGGGCTTGATCATCGACTCGTACCATCGCGTTTCCGCTGTCGCCAGGCACCGGCGTCTGCGAGTGAACGTGTGCATTATTCAAGATCAATTTAGGCTCCTGTTTCCTTCGCCGCAGTTATCTTGACTAATGACGTCGGAAGCGAGAAAACTTAAGATTTCCTAAAATCGCCTAAAATTTCTGCCTAAAGTAAAATTTCAGGCAGGTTGAAATAAAAAGACGTACCCATAAAGTGATACCCGGTGTGATCGATTGAACATATTTGTGAAATATCCCGGAAACTTTCCTTCTATTTCAACGATCGATAAACAGCCGTGAAACGAATGCACGAGATCATAAGAAAAAGATAGACCAAAAAGGAAAAGTTGAATTTCGCAAGAATTTTGGACGTGAATTTTCCCGCTTCAGACGTCACCAACCGAAACGACCTCAGCAAGGGACCAGCGGGCCCCATTCTGTAACTTTCAGTCGACGCGTCAAAGAGGAACGAAAGATGAGGAATTGTCTAATGTATCTCGATGCTCACATATTGGGTTGATCGTCCCGCGGCTTTCTCACGGGATTCCACCCGGGCACCGGTTTCTCGTTAGCTAACATCAATCCGCGGATGCAGTATGAGAGCGCCACCTTACCCAGATTACGATCCTGCAAAAGGAACGGACGGTTCAAGTACGAGCGCGTCAGCAAAAGTCGACCGTCCGAGACTAAACCCACCCGCCACTCCGAATTCAGAACCTCGGCCAAGCTCAGGATGTCAGACGCCACCGTAGCTTCCTCTATGGTCCTTATGGTGTTCAGATAATTCTCTTGGAGGAACCGGACGAACACCACCGTCTGCGACTGGAAGAAACCGGCTGTCTCCTCGGGGTCATGCACGAACCTGCGGGAATCGCCGTCCAGGTCTCCTGGAACCACGAGAGATCGCGGGATCGTAGGTTCGCGGGAAGGAACTCGGTCCGGCCGAGTTGCGAAGAATCGTCAAGTTTCGAGTTACTTTTCGGATTAATGACCCTCCCGACGCCGTGCAGCAGACCCAGGGTTTCCTCCCGCACGCCGCACTCGTTCTTCGATCGTTGCTCGGGCACTTGTAGAAACCGGATTAAAACAGGTAAAAAGAATGCCGGCAAGCTCTCTAGCTTATCGATATTAAGCTAACAAGGGGAATTTACCTCTGAGAGAAAGAAAGATGAGATTCAGCAGGGCGCTGCGCACGTCGCCGATGCTGTCGGCCAGCGTCTCGTCGATGTGCCGCTGAGTGACGTGCAGCATGTCGCCGGCGATCGAGTTCAGCAGACCGGACACGCGTTTCATCGCGTTCTTCATCGCCGTCTGCGTGGCCGCGTTCACGCTGCACCGAATCAGTCGTGATTACGATTGAGATTACCACGCGGAAGTGTGGAAGAATGACTTTCAACTACCACGTCGACCGAGAAGAACGACGATCCGCTTACTTGATGAGGTCGATGCCGAATTTCTCTCTCACAGCCGGAGCGAACAAGGTCTGCAGCAGCCTGGAGTTGCCGGTCTCCGTGCACACGAATACCACGGGCTCTCTCCCCACCTGGAAATACGTTCTACAAGAAGACACCCGTCAGAAGGGATATCACGAAACTCGGGGAAACGTGGGAACGGCTTGTTATATAGAGTACTGCTCACTCCAGAAACGCGAAGAAGCCTTTGTGGTCCTCCTGATAGACGTTCGGGAGGTCCTTGACCAGGAGCAACTGTTTGGAACCGCTGCCGAGCACCGTATGGTAACGCGTCGCACGGATCACGTGATCCACGAACCGGTCTCCTTGTCGCGTCACGCGGTCTAAAAATTGAGAGACAGCGGTGAGCGGAACTCGAGGTCAACGTTGCTGCTCAACTGTTCTAACTGAGCTATGTCGGGGAGTAATCATTACTGTTTTCATCTTCAGCTGGATCGACCGGAGTAATCCACTCGATGACGTCGAATCCGTGTTCCCGGGCGAGCAGCTTTACGGCTGCGGTTTTGCCGCAACCGGAAGGGCCAGAAAGGACCAGCACGGAAGGCCGCCTGTTCGAGGCTCTGCAATGAAGCCAATCGGAGATTTCATTCTGCTTCTGCCTGCTGATCGCCAATTCGCCAAGTTTCCGCGGCTCGCACGCTTCCAGCAGCTTCGACAAGCTAGTCTCGTGCTTCCTCCGCTGGGCTCTCTCTCGCGCAAGTGACTCGTCCGGTGTGTCATCACGTAGCGCTGCCGAACTAGCACGCTTCACCATCGGCCTATTTGTAGGCGCACAGTCGAACGACGGCACGCACCAGCTATTTTTCTGTCAACGGGGAAACAATCGGGGAACAGTCGGGAGAAAATAGAACGAGAGGAATGTACCAATGCTTCATATCTTGAACATCAAATAGAATGTAACGGTATGACATAAGGTCAGAATGAAATGAAGATAATTCATAACGTGATAATAACAAATTTAATTGTTAAATGTTACATATATCGTTTTTCTACGATTATTTCTGACTTACAAAGTGAAACTGATATGTCAATATGAGTATACCGATCAAAGGTTAGGTTAGGTCACGCGCTATATCCAAAGTTGTTTCTCAATGTTTATTTGATATTTTTACTTACTTTTGAATGAGTCATGGTTCTTTCCGATATGTCACCGCATTATAACTCAAGTTCTTATCTTTTAATGAGTTTGAGCGATTGTGTCTTTCACTTCTTTATCTCTACTGTTCTGCCAAGGTTGATCAGCAGCATATGTAGAAAATCGTGTGTATACGCCGATATATATATATATATATATATACAAGGCGGCATTATAACTTGAGTTTTAAATGGCAGAATAATTATAGCTTTTCGCGTAAGAAAATTTATTAACATTCATTTGCATGTTTCTATATAATTATTCATGTTATTTAAAAAAAAATTACTCTTATCATACGATTATCACTAATTTAAATAATAATTCTTATTAATTTTAGTTTTTAAAGTTTTTTATTATTTTTACTATATATATTCGGTTCTTATTTTTATTTTCAATAGTTAATCAGGACAAGGATTATAAAATAGCTACATAAAATCAATATAACATTAGCTAAAATATACATCAGTATTTTCACATATGTTAATTAAATTATCTAAAATGATATAAGTCTATCTTCACGTATAAATTGTCATTTTTATTTCATTTACCATCCCTATGTATTATAAAAAAAAAAAAAAAATATATATATATATATTGTCCTTAAATCATTATACAATCGCTGTTGAGATATGGCTCTGAGCAGTTTGTAAAGTCCTATACTTAAAACGTACATAAATAAGTAAGTTGGTTTTGTTTCGACGATAATATATAATTTATACATAATTGTTATCCTATATTTCTTTGTGAAATGTTTCATCGGGATTCAAACAAATCGACATTCTAGACTATTAATCCAGTATCTCAGCGCAGATAAATGATTAAATGTAGCATGCTAGTCAAAGATAATGCAATTGTGATGAGATGAATGGTCGAACAATACGGACTAATATTTATTAATAACAAAGTTCCCTAGCTCTTGCTGTTCTTATCTTCATTTTTCTCGTCTTGATTCACGCATTAACTTGGATCACAGAAGCCATTATGCTATATCCCATCAGTATAAAAATTTTATATCGGTAGAAATTTATATCGCAAGAACGAAGATAAGAGTACGGACACTTCGCTTTGTATTTTTTAAACGTCGCGCGAAAAATTGGATCGCGCCACGTGTTAATCCGTGCGATGACTAATACATATCAAATCAATTGTACCTAGAATACAAATAACGTAGCTATTCTTGAACCTGACCACGAGACTTGAGTAAGAACCCTCGCGCATAAAGCTCAACAACCGCGAAATTTTTCTATAGTTCTTCGAACAACGCGATAACAATCACTGGCATATCTATTACGCCTACTTTTGTAAAAAAAAATATATATATACAGGGCGTATCTGACTACCAATAAACTTACAAGATTCTATGTTGAAAAAGATTTGGTGAACACGTCGGCAAAAGCTTGGTTTTTGAGATTATGAGCCTTCAGAAAATGACGATGAACGAAAATCGGTCGCGATAAGCGGATTAAGAATGCTAATACAAGTTTTTTTTTAATCTGTTTTGGAAGATCATACCTGTCAATTTTGATATTTCTGAATATTAACCGAAGAATCAATCATTGTAATTGGTGTATAACAGTCGGTGTATGTTTAATTACTTATTTGTAAAACACGATTTAACGAAAATATAATGTTTTCTAAGATTACGACAGCTATATCTCGGAAACTAAACGTTTCAGGACATATATTTACTAAGACTTTCTTACTTATTTCTTTATGTAAAATCTATCCTGCGAGTTTGTTGAAGTTCAGATACACTCTGTTTATCTCGCAAAACCTAAGCTTTAGCTAGCTTTCGCGCATTATAGCTAAAAGGCAGCGGGCTACGATGGGTGAAGAAGCACTTGAATGAGGTCATTTGTACAATTTTGTCACCAACAGTGCTTGCTCTATTATCCGGCCAACCTGATACTTCGCTCATCAACTATATTTCAAAATATTGCCGTGAGAATCGGATGCCAGCTGGAGGACAAGTCAACCTCCAATTCGTCTCTTACTCAAATGTAAATTACAATAATTTTGGTTAAGCTTAAAAGCATATTCAACCGTTTGTAATAGTAACAAGAATATTAGAAACATTACGGAGATATATTTTTATACAAATTATACATTTTCTCTCTAATAAGAAATCGGCATTTCTTCAATTTGATTTAAACAATTAGCTATACATAATGACGAAAATGTACGATTAAAAGTATGTTCGGGAAGCGCTAAGTCAGTGCTAAAGCGTCCTTCTACCCTTATTTTATATCTAATGAGTGATAAAGATAGAAGGACGCTTTAGCGTCGATAACTCGCTCCCTGAACGCACCGTTTGTTGAAAAATCTTGCGTGCGAATTTTAGGGAAGACAACGGTACAAGTTGTCGCGCGTTATTAATTGAACTACGATTGTTTCATTTGGCAGGACGAAGATAAGTCGAGTGACCTCGTGTAACGTGCGATTGCCGAGCGTCCTGACATTCTGACGAATTGAGCCGGAACTCAATTCCCGGGTTTCGACGAAAATTGTGCTTTTTCTATGGTATCAATACGGGTCACTGCTCAACTCCAGACGTCGCTCGAGTACCGCTTCTGCACGTCCATCTTCTTGATATAATCAATAGCGTCGATGTTCTTCATCTTCCCTTCCTCCATAACCACCTTGACCAGTATGTTGTGCACGTCGCGCGCCATATTTCTCGCATCTCTGAAAAGGGACGAAGAGATTCGAAAAATGAAGAAAGAAGCAACGACGAAAGAAAAAATGCACGACGATCTTGCGGCGGAAAGACGGAAAATCGTGCAACTGACCCGCAGATGTAAATGTGTCCGTTTTGCTCGCCGATCACTCGCCATATCTCCGCTTTGTTCTTCTCGAGCAGGTGCGTGACGTAGACCTTCTCGGCCTGTTCCCGGCTGAATGCGGTGTGTAACGTCAGAGATCCGCTCTGCACGTATTTCTTCAATTCCACCTCGTACAGGAAATCCTCCTCGCTTTTTCGACAGCCGAAGTAGAGTATCGTGTCGCCGACTTCTTTACCTGAGGAGGCAGCGAACATTGTCTCACGACGGAAAATTGTAAACGTCGCAGTGCACGATGAAAATCTATGTGCCTTTTTTGTACCGCGTAATCCTTATACTCTTACCTTCCTTTTTCGCCAGGTCTCGTTCTTGGATGAAGCCTCGGAACGGCGCTAATCCGGTGCCCGGGCCGACCATGATGATCGGGACGGATAGGCGCGTCGGCAGGCGGAATTGCGACTTCCTCACGAAGATCGGGACGAGGCAGGGCGGGTCGGAGGGATGCTTCTCTTTCAGCCAGCTGGTCGTAACGCCCTTGTTTACCCTGCCGGTCGGGGTCTCGTACTCCACCACCACTGCCGTAATGTGGATCGAAGTAGGGTGGAGCTGCGAGATAAGAATTGCTTTATGCTCATCAAGTTCCCAATCGACACGGTCGTTCTCTCCAACGCGAAAGTATCATCTCTAGATTCAACCAGGTACCTTCGGGGACGAGGATATCGAGTAGTAGCGACACTGTAATCGCGGTAGGATCTCGCACAGGTGATCCAACGGCGGTGTCAAGCTGGGAATGTCCTCCAGGATGTGCACGATATTGCGATTCTCTTGGATCACCCATTGCTGATAAGCTGCTTTACCCTCCACGCTGGTGGACGCCATCAGCTTCAGCTTCTCCTTGTCCTCAGGCTCAGTGGCGTACTCGGCCAACTCCTTGAGGATGTGCGTACGAGGGTTGCTGGTGATGTCGAGGTAGTGCGTCAACGCGGTCCTGTAGCTGCAGGGACAAGGGAACGGGTGCTTCTTCGAGGACTCCTCTGTAAGACGAGTGGTGAATTAGTCGGAAGTGAAGAGCGATTAATAGCGGTAAAAAAGCGCACATCAACTCACCGTCCGTGTTTGTAAGAGTGATGATGGTATCCAGATCGGCGTTACACTGTTCGCCAATTTTCTTAACCAACTCCGCGCTGTTGACAGGATAGACGGCCAGGTGATCGCCGGCCTCGTAACGCATCTTGGAGCCCTCGATGTCGAACTCGATGTGCATGCAGGATCTCTCGGATGTCGAGCCGTGCAGCTCGCGATTTATCTTGACCGGGGCTAAGAAAGGATTCTTCGCGTCGAAAGGCCTGCAGACAGAGAAACGAGAGAACGCTGAGAAGACGAAGGAGGGCTGATGATATATCCGACCGTGAATAAGTGCGAGCTTACGGTCTCTGATTTTGGAAGGAGTGCAGACGAGCTAACTCTCCGGTGTAAATACGATCGGCCGGCAGATCCAAGTGTTCCGTCAGCTTGTACTGCCGGATATTCACGTCCTCGCCGGCGCCTTCGATGCCGAAGAAAGTGCACACAGTCGGCCAGAACTTGTCCTTCCACGTGATAAAGTCATCTTCTATGCTGCAGTGAAGAACAACACGAGGCATTGTAAATCGCAGAAGGTAAGGCGAATAGAAATGATAAAAGTTATTATCATAACTTTTATCTGTAAGTATTTAGATAACAAGAATATTCGAAGAACACGTTCGAAAAGATGTCCTGTTCTTCCTTCAAATTCTCGACGCGTTTAAAATATGCTTTAGACATTCATGTTGTTCGGGAATTTATATTTAAGTTATACACAAATATCATGTTAAGACTCGGCTCTCTCGGGAGAAACAAATTGGTTTTATGACGTCATAAACGAAAAATGACATGTAGTATTTTCGTCCGTTATATAACTTTAATTTTTAGTTTCCCTCAAAAGACATGATAGTTTAATCCCGAGATCTGTAAAATGTGCAACCTAATATATATATATAAGTATTAAATAAGTTTGATATTTGAGTTTCGGGTCGTTCGTTTGTCCGAAGAAGCGAACTGAAATGCTCGCGAAACGTCGGGGGAAGATTTCACGAGGGATTAATTCGGGAGCCGAAATTACATCGGTTACTGTAACTTACAAGGACGCGGAAAAATTATTCGTGCGAACTTACTTGGCATCATCATCCCCGAGGCCCATCTCGACCACGCGCGTAGCGCCCAGCTGCTCCAGTCTGTGATCCATTTGCACAGCAACCTCATTATAATGCTCGTAGGTCTTGTTACCGAGTCCGAAGACCTAGAAAACGAAAAAAAAAACGGGGAAGTCGTGGCGCGTTCGTCATTCGAAAACTTCGAAAGCTCGATATCGCACATTCGAGCGTTATCTATCACATCTCTGACGATTCCTCGCGATACCTCGATACCTGCGAATGCAGCATGGCGGTATGCCGCACCGCCGTCGCGCCGCTATGGCGACGCGGCAGAAGGAGAAAACGGAGCAGCTGATTGTACGTTTTGATATTCATATCGTCTAATATTGTCGGATAGCACAATTGCATCGAATCAACGCAGACAAAACGAGGAAATCGAGCACTCAACTCATTGAGTATTTGTCGGCCGTTCTTGTGCCACCGCGCGTATCTTTATTTATTGCCACGAGCAACCTTGATTTTTATGCATGATCCCCGCGCGTGACTGCCACACGTGTACTGCGGCTTACGCAATACGGCTAGTAGCGTAACTAGATAAGCGCCGGTCCCCCGGAGTCTACGACCTCGGACTCGGGAAAATTGATAGACGGAGGGGAAAAAAGTAATGAGAGAACGCGGGTGAGAGGAGTGAAAAAAACGGAGATAAAACGAGAGTGCACGCGCGATTATTTATTGATTGTGCGACGGCCGATTCGTTCGATCGAAAAACTCAGTGCTTTTTCCTCCTTCGAAGACAAACACACTCATCGTTATCTTGCGTCGAATTATTTATAATGGCGGCGGATAAAAACGAAAGACAAAAGAATCGGGAGGAAAAAGAGAGGCACTTTTGTGGTAAGTTGCGACGTACCGCGTAATTTAGTCCGGTGAGGTCGGCGTCGCCTGTTTTGAGCCATTCGACGAACTCCACCGAGTTGTCCGTGGGATCGCCCTCTCCGTACGTTGCCATGCAGAACACCGCCAAACTTTTCGGGATGTTTTTCAGATGCACCAGCTCCTCCTGCCGACCGAGAAAAAAAATATATGTCTATCGTCATCTCTTGTTGCACAATCTTATTGATTCTCCTCTTGTTGCATAATCGATCGACCTTTCCGTGTCATTAGCGCACGAAGGCGAAGATATTAAGCAATTAAAATAGATGATTCAACCTATAATAGTCATAGCACCTTCGAACACTTAATAAGACGTATTTTTACATGGAAACAAAAACGCAAAGATTTTATATACAAAATAAATAATCATCGAATACAAAATCGCGTTGGACAGGTTTGTTTTCTTGTAATAACTAGCTAATAACTTCTGTAATAAGTAACTAGCTGTAATAACTTCTTGTAATAACTCTTTTATCAATTTTTATAAACCTTATAAATGCTAATGAACTATAGTTGATGAATTATTTTTTATTTCTTAAATTCCTTTGAATTTCCTCTATTTCATGGTTAATATTTTTAACTTTATTTTTATTTTTGTGCTGATGGTGTCAGCTTATTTTTATTGTTTGTACTATGCCGGAGGTGGATCCCTCCTGATGGTCCTTTGCGACCAATAACGGGACTTATCTAAAATAGAGGATTATTATTAGAAGAACGAGATGTTTCACAGACATAATCCTCCAATGCTAACCCGAAATAAACTCTTGGAAATATTGAAAGAAATGTGCTAAATGATATTTCTCATCCGATTTGCCGGCGTCTTCTCTGTGATGACGGCGGTAACGAGTAACACACGCTACTTGGAGATGCCAGCTTGAAGTATCTATCATTTATGATGTCCGGAATACGAAAAAAAAAAACCTTGGCTACATAAGATATTAGAGCACCTACAGAATGGCAAGTAACATTATCGTCTCATTGGAATCGCCGATGCTGGTGATCTTTTCAACAATGGATGTCAGATTTTCAATAGCCTATCATTATTCTATCGACTAGTATACGATGGCATGCTAATCGCGAGAAGCCCAAAATAGCTAAAGTTTTTCAGAGAATAATTCACGAGTGAAGCTAATGTATATTTTCTCGTTTCAAAGCAAATAACGCAATAATCCGGTGACTCCTACCATGTCGCATTCCTCGGGATCGGCCACCATGCCTTTCATCTTGTATCTGATACCCTCTTTGGCGAGGCGACTCGCGAATTCCTCGGCGGTACCGGTCTGGCTGCCGTAGAACACCACCAAACTGCGCCCGGACGACTTGAGCTTCTTTATGAAGGAGTTCTCAGATGGTGGCGTCGCCACGAAGGACGTCGGTCTGCAATCGAAGAAAAATGACGGCGACTCTCAGCAGGGTGTGCCGATTAAATCGATTAAAAATCGCGAGAAAAAATCAATTACTGGATGGAATATGACTTCGGTGCGGACGTGTCGCAATCGTCCCGTTTGCTCCTTCTCCATATGAGATACCATATTGCGCCCACGAGGAGTGCACCGAGCAAGAGGAAGTCCAAGACGCTGAAGGAGCTCTCGTCCACCTCTTCCAGTCCGCTTTTGTTATCCAGCACCGGTGATCCCGCCATTCTTATGGCCTTCGGCTGCGACGCGTCCACTGTCTGCAACGAGTCCCCAAGCAAACAATCGCTTAATTGATTATTAGGAAGCACCGCTGTCCGAAGAAATGATTTTTGTCCGGAATTTGAACTGTCTGAGTGATATCGCTCATATGAATTTCGGAATGGCGCTTAACGCTTACTTTTCTATCTTATCTCTCTGTGGACATTGCAAGGATGAAGCCAAATGGCAGAATTAGCAGGCTTACATTAATGCAGCAAGTACAAATTCCACTATGCGCGATATGCGGGATGCGACCTTCAGGGAAAATATTCGCGGACTCAACTGAAGATCCGTATTTTACTGGTCTGTATTTTCTAGCTGAATTAGTTGCGCTAGTTCAAGAAGTTCACGCACACGGGGAATTTTATACGTACGTTTCATACGCTTCAGTGTGTACGTAGTGTGTACTTACAGAGATTTTTCTCGAATTAGTGCAACTTGGTTAGACCAGTTTGGCTAAAAAGAACAGACCCACTTGTTTTCACATAATGCGAAGCGCGCGATGACAAAAAAAAAAACAGGCGCGGTCGGGATTATAATGGTCGCGTTCAGAATATTCAAGCGATCAGTGAGCAATCGGTGGTCGAATGATTTGAACGAATTGTTCTTTGTGGTTAGATGCCTAAATAGACCAATTACGTTGATGAATTATTCAACCGTTGCATTTCTTGAACGCAATAACTTCGGCGGGGCTAGACGACGTCATTGTGTCACTGGAATAATTGATTTTGTCGGTATCATGACACAATAACTTTCTTAATCTCTCGCATATGCTTCACATATGTCGGTGTTTGATGAATGGCGAGCAAGTGCGCGCATATCGCCAGACACAAGCCGATCTATATTCCGACGATATTTCGACCGGTACTTTGCACACATGAAATCTCGGCGTTACGCTACCGTAGGATGCTAATTTTGTCGCTGTTCGCTGTTGGTCTCTGATTCTCTCAATTTATATTCCCGGCAGATTGAATGCTGAAGCACAAAAATGTGTTTCTTGTAGCAAAGCGACGTCTCCTTTACACTTACAATGCCGGATCACAATCGCCGACACATCGAGTGAGAAGTCATCACTTGAACTACGTCAATCACTATCTGCGAATCTTGTGTATGTAATGCTCCGATGCGATGAGTGATCGTAATGCTCCGATCGATGATAATCGATAAGTATTATCACGAAAAAAATATATGAAAAAGTTAAGTGGACTTCTATTACGCTCGAACGTGTCGGGCGGCGTATCCCGATGATAACCAGCGAAATATCGCTTTCTTTAGACATTGTCACGACTAATTTATAAATCCGTCAAAGGTTGTTTGTTATGCACCGAACGTAAAGATAACAAGCGCGTCGTCGTCGTGACTGAACGACCCCTCGTAACAATTTTCAACTGATACGTGAAAATCGTGAATACGCTGAATCGTGAAAGTCATGCTGACAATATATGTACACGAAAGCAAATGTCATCATCTATTATTCACGACGTCCACACACGACCTGTTCTGCATTGTTCACGTGCTTTCGTCTTCGTAACAATTCCCACACCGGACATGCGATTTATTATCTTGTCCCGCTCCTAAGTCACCCCGACGGAAAAAACACTCATTACGGCACTGATTACGGATTTCCACGGAAAGAGTCGGACTTACATAATTACATCTAGCGAGATTATGCCATTGATTATGTCATTGCTATTACAGGTTTTGCATAACAGTTCAAGTGGGTTACGGGCTTACTAATTGTATATTTGCGCCGAGAAACGTTAATTCGACGTCGCCGGTAATTCGTTCAGGGAGAAAAACAAAGTGGGAAGAGAGAGGGCGGGAGGGAGGTAGGGA